GCGCGCCCCAGGCTTCTTAGAAGGGTGGCCGGCGCCTTCTAAGAGGCAGCCGTTTTCTAAGAAGCTTTCCCCTTTTCCTCTACCCCCTTCTGCGCGCCGCCAACACCTGCGTGGCACAGTATGTTGAGCGCTGCCGCTTCGCATCCGTTCATGTGGTTGTTCATATTGCGTTGCCGTTTTTGCTTGTGTTCGTTATTGTTGCGGCTGTTGTTGTGAATTGCATTGTCGATGCGCGGGAGGTGCTGTTTCTGTTGGATCGGGACCAGAAATAATTATCATTCACTGGTTTTGGGGGTTTTCGATCGCAGACGCTTAATTGAATGATTGCGCGGCGCGCTCTTCGTTTCGCTACCTGCTGCCTCCTTGGAACGCGTAAACCAAGCGAGCGCGGCCATCGCAAGATGCTGCTGGGCTCCGCGAGAACGACGCGCGCGCTGTAGATGCAATTTCATTCACTGATGGAAAGCGACGCGATGCGCGATGCATCGGCCCTTCGGTTGACTCGAGCGGCCCCCGAACAGACATTGGGGCCGCATGTGCCTATATAGCCGCGGTTTGATCCCGTTCAATCAGCGCGCATTTCAAGGGTGCCCGGCAATGTCGACGGGAATCTTCATGACCAAACGAATATGTGCACCGTTAATCTCCGCAGGCCTCAGGCGCGGGAGTGCGCGCGCCGCGCCGCAGATCGGTGCGCGTACTCAAGCGAGGGCGCGGCCCTGCGTCAATCGGCCCGCCGCCTGAGGGCGCGCGCGGCGTCCGCCCCTGGAACCCCCGCCAGGCCGGATCGGTGAAAGGAAAGATTTTGTTGTTTGGGGCGGGCCCAAACCGCGAAATTTTTCATTTCACCGGTCGCGGGTCTGGGTTGCGTCCCTGTCCGGGGCGGATGCGAGTGGTTCCTTGCGCGCTCCTGCGGGGGGCTCGCTCTAGGGCGTATCGGGCCTCTCTTGGGGCCTGTCGCGCTCATCCTCGGGTCTTCCGACTTACTCTCCGGAGGCCCCCGTGGAGCTATTGGGCCCATTTGCGTCGATGTGGCAGCTCGTGGAGACGTTTCCGCGACGGATAGGAGATTTGGGTTTCACCAGACGCCCAGGGTCGTTTCTCGGCGCGTTCAGGCCGACGTGGAACCCCCCGCGATCCCCGGCCGCCCAGAGAACGCAATTGGCGCCTGAAGGGTTTCCTGCAGGCGGCGGGACATGATGTCCAATTGTCGTGCGACGCAGTGCTGGGCGCTCCTTCAAGTCGCAAGCTCGGTCGATTCGCGCAATTGGCGTCGCGTCGCGAAGATGTCGGCCTCATCGCGATCAGCGATCATGTGGGCATGAGGGCCAGTAAATCAAAATCTACAGGCCGACCAGTGAAAGATAACCATTTATGGCCCCTATTGGTGGGTACCTGCTGATCTGCAGCTCGCTAAGTGGTTCCTGGCGTTTCCCTTGTCCGTCCACCTCGTGGCCGTCGAGTTCATGCTCATCGACGCATCGCGTGCGATGCTTTCCGCCGGTGCCGCCCGCCTGGTGGGGCATTGCCACAACGGCTACTGCAATACGGCGCGGGGAAAAAGAGGAATAGCAGGAGGACCAGGAATAAGAGACCAGGAAGTGGACGAGGAGATCTTGCACATGACGAGAGACTGCCAGGAGGAGGAGGAGGAGGAGGAGGAGGAGAAGGAGGCTAGGACCGAAGAGGGGGAAGGGATGGGAAATATAGCATCAGCTAAACGAGAATGAGTCAATCGCCCCCTTTTCCCGGCGATCCGATCGGACGTCGCTTCACGTCCTGAGTGCGGGCGGATTCCGCTTCACCTTCTGAGTGCAGTCGACGACCCGTTGCGTTGGTCTCCTCCTCCTCCTCCTCCTCCTCCTCCTCCTCCTCCTCCTCCCCCGTCCCCCTCTCTTTCCCAGCCTCGTGCTATGGCGAGGCCTCCTCCATCTCCCACTAATCTCCCTCTCCCTCCTCTCTCCCCCTTCTACCCTCCTCTCCCGTCTCCTTTCCTCTCCCGTCCTCCTCTCCCGTTCCTTCTCGCTCTCTCTCTCTCTCTCTCTCTCTCTCTCTCTCCCTCTCTTTTTCTCTCTCTCTCTCTCTCTTTATCTCTCTCTCTCTCTCTCTCTCTCTATCGCTCTCTCCCTCTCCATCTCCCTCTCTCTCTCTCTCGCTCTCTATGTCGCTTCCTCTCTTCCTTGTTGTTGGTTCTCTCTCTCTCTCTCTCTCTCTGCGTGTGTCAGGTTCTTTTGAGCTCATTGTGAGTCGAGTAGATCGCGCAGCAAGCGGGAACTGCAAAGTGGTAAAGCAACGATCCCGTAAAGAAGGAGTCGTCCTTTTTTACCCGGAAGAAAAAAACAACAACATGGTAAAGCAACGCTCGCGTTACTCGTCCCCCCGCCCCCCGCCCCCCACCCTCTCTCACGGGATTTGGACTCCTGGGGGTAGCAAAGGGGCAAGGGGGCAGCGACTCATCTTTCAAACACACACACAGAGTTCAAACACACCACACACACACACACACACACACACTTCCTCACCCCTGGCAAGAGGGGGGTCGGCGGATTTCACACAGCCACGGGGGTGCGCACGCACCGAAGCGGACGCACCGTAGCGTTGGGGATCGTTCTTCCGCCTCCTCATCATCATCATCAGCATCAGCATCATCATCAGCATCACCAGCATCATCAGCATCATTATCATCAGCAGGTCCATCATCCCTGCTCTTGCTCCTCCTCCTCCTCCTCCTCCTCCTCCTCGTCCTCCTCCTCCTCTTTCTCCCCTTCCTCCTCCTCCTCCTCCTCCTCCTCCTCCTCCTCCTCCTCCTCCTCCTCCTCCTCCTCCTTCTCCTCCCCCCTTTCTCTCCTACGTATCCCCGTCGTCCTGCGAAGTGCCCTCTGCTGGGGCTGCCCGCCCCGCATCGCGGCGCCCAGAGGCGGCAGCCGCGGCATCGAACCGTACGCGGCTGAGGCGGCGCAGCTGGTCTCCAGGCGCTCGCGCGGGGGCGGTCCACCTCGCAGAAGTGGCGGAGGAGGAGCAGGGCGAGGAGGACCCGGGATGGCTCAGGAGGGGGCAGGATGGAGGAGGGGGGGAGAAGGAGGGGGCATCCAGATGGCGTCAGCAGAGGAGGAGCGCGAGCATGAGGAGGAGGAGGAGGAGGAGGAGGAGGAGGAGGAGGAGGCCGACGAAGATAGTGACGATGAGGAGGCAGGTGGAGGCATGGGCATGTCTTCCCCCGGCTCCTCCCCCTCCTCCATCCTCCTCCTCCTCCTCCTCCTCCTCCTCCTCCTCCTCCTCCTCCTCCTCCTCCTCCTCCTCCTCCTCCTCCTCCTCTCCTCCTCCTCCTCCTCCTCCCTCCTCCCTCTCTTTCCTCCTCCTCCACCTTCTCCTCCTCCTCCTCCTCCTCCTCCTTCTCCTCCTCCTCCTCCTCCTCCTCCTCCTCCTCCTGCTCCTCATCCTCATCCCTTCCCCTCTTCCTGCCACCCTCCTCCTGCCCCTCCTTCAGGAGAGGCCGGACGAAGACGACGACGATCTTCCCCCGAGTTCGGACCCCAAACTTCTCCAGGAGACCACCCTGGCCAGCTCCTCGAGCTGCTTCCAGCCGTTACCACTACGACGACGACCACGAACACGACCACGACCACGACGACCACGACGACGACGACGACGACCACCACCACCACGACGACGATGACCACCACCACTACGACGACGCTGACGACGACGACGACGACGACGACGACGACGACGACTACGACGACGACCACCACGACGTCGATGACCACGACGACGACGACGACGAAGACGACGACGAGCCGCGTGGGCCGCTAAGGAGGCACCAGAGAGCCGAAACTTGAGACGACGACAGCGATATCAACAGCAACAACAACAACAACAACAGCAACAGCAACAGCATCATTAATATCAACAAGAACCACGACGACGACAACAGCAACATCAAATACATAAACAACAACATCAACAACTACAACACGCCAAAAACACCACCAGCAACAACAACAACACCACCAACAACAACAACAGCAATGACGACGACGGCGACGGCGAAGGCGGCTGCGTTGGCGGCGGTTGCGGCTGCGACGACGACGACGACGACGACGACGACCACCACCACCACCACCACGACGACGACGACCACGACGACGACGACGACGACCACAACGATGACGACGGCGACGACGACGATGACGTCGACGACAACGGACGACAACGACGACGACGACGACGACGACGAAGTGGAAGTCGAAGTCGCCGGCGGCGGCGCAGTCGACGGCGTCGGCGGCGGCGGCGGCGGCGACTGCTGCGACGGCGGTGGCGGCGGCGACGAGCCAGGCACCCGGACGGCCTGGGCCTCTTCGACGGCTCCGCCCTCGAGGCCCTCGGGGGGCGCCTGCGGACGGCCGAGGTGCTGCGCCACGCCACGAACCTGGCGGCGGGCCGCGAGCTGCCGGGGCCTTACGGCCCCCCAGGCCTGGGCCGCCAATTTGGACGCCCGAATGGGTGCTGAAGACATGGGTACAACGCCCAACAACAAATGTTGCCCCAAACCAACAGGAGCCGCTGTTGAGCAGGCGGCCTTCTGTCTCAAATGGACACAGACCGCGGCGGCGCGGACAGCGAGTCCTGTTCAGAGTGGACAGGAACTGCTGTTGGGCATCGTACCCATTCTTTCCGTACCAATTTCGTTCGTGTTGAGCCAAGATTGTTGCGAAGCCTCGTGGCAAGCACACGAGCAGCTGAGACGAGCTGGCGCGGTGCGCAATACCTGCGTACAGCTGTCGTCCGGCTGTCTGCTGGGATGATCGCCATATGCTCCCTGGGGAAACCGCAGGCGTCGCAGACGGCAGCGGCGTGCCTGCCGATCTCCCCGGCCCACGTCTGCCTGGGACGACCTCCCTAGCGCCGGGCCGCCAAGAGGGTGGCCCATTCCGATCCGAGCGATCCTGCTCGATATCGAGTTCGGCCCGCTCGATCTGGCTCACTCCCGTTCGATGTCGATGTTTGGGCCCGCTCGATGCGGCTGGATTCCGACGGTGTGGCCCAGTGCATGCATGGCGCTGTTGTGCATCCTGTCGCGGCCGATCCCATTCGATTCCGAACCCGTGCCGATGCGACCGACCATGGCGGCGGGCCGCGAGTTGCCCGGCCTCACAGCCCTTGCGGTTGGGGACGTTTGCTTGGTGTGTTGCGCCGCCGATTCTGGCCCACCGATGTTAAAGGTCTTCGGGTGTCTTCGTCAGTGCCCAGAGCCTTTGCAGCCTCGGGATGCTCTCCAGCAGCCGCGCCTCGCCGAGGGCGCTCCGAGGCTGCCCAGTTCGTCCCGCCCCGCCGAGCGGAGCGACACGCAATCAGCTGGCAGGGGACAGCGTGTGGGCGGGGCCGCCGTCGCGGCACGCCGAGCAAACGTTCCCGGCCGCAGGTCCAGCCCCGCTCGGGGGGGGAGTCGGGGCAGACGGGGCGTTCCAGAAAGGACCTCGCCTTGCGGCACGCCTCACCCTCGGCGGAAGGCGGCGGGAGTGTCCAGCTGCCTGCGGCAAGTCCCGACACCGTGCCAGCCCCAGCATTCTCTTGGTGGCGACTGTTCGAAGGGGGACGCGCCAGGTCATCACCCCCAGGCTCTGGGGGAGCCGTGATGAGGATAATGAGGATGAGGATGACGGTGGGGCCCTCTTAGACCGTCTTGGGACTCTGTTTGGCCGCCTTGGGGTCCTCTTGGAGGCTTCCTTGGCCGTCTTGAGCTGACGCTAGCCCGAAACGGCGAGAATGCGAAACCCTATCAAAAGCCCAATGGATACGAATGATCTTGGCTTCTTCGGACTCCATTGGGGAACCCGGCGTGATCACTGTTCTGATATTCAAGCGGAGCGACGTCGCTGACATTTACGCCTGACCCCAGCCTCCCAAAATAGACTCATGGAGGGGGATGAGGAGGAGAGGAACGACGAAAAGAGGACAGAAATAGCAAAGAAGAGAGATGTGGAGCAGCAGGAGCGGGAAGAGGAGGGAGACGAGGAGGATGGACGAGGAGGACGACGAGGGGGAGGGGGAGGAAGGCGGAGGCGGCGGAGGAGGAGGAGGAGAAGAAGAAGGAGAAGGAGAATGAGGAGGAGGAGGAGGAGGAGAATGAGGAGGAGGAGGTGGCGGCGGAGGAGGAGGGCATGGGTCTGGGCGTGATCGGGCCGTTGATATGGTCGATCCGTCGGTGGATCGGGATCGGGACGCGGCGAGGGCGGCTTGGGTCAGAACCCCGTGGCCTCGCCTCGAAAAGGTGGCCCTGGGAGGAACGGATTGGTGATCACGACATGTCCACTGCCAGCCCCAGAAATTACGTTGCATCTTCGGGTGTTTCTTGAACTCTGTCCCAGAACTGGCGGTATTGGGAAGTCCTTACGGTCGGTGCCGCTGACTCTGAAGGGAGACGACGAGCACGACGACGGCGTCGGCGGCGACGACGACTCTGACGTGGGGCAGAGTACTCAGTGATGCTTCGTGGGGCTTCTTCGGAGCACGCTCGTAGGCCTCTTGTGGGGCAGTTTTTGGGCCTCTTGGGAACATATTGGGGCCCTCTTGGGAGCCTCGTGGAGGTCCCTTCGGGATTCCTGGGGGCCTCTTTGGGCCTCGTGGGGTCTCCTGGGAGCTTCTCCGAGCCGAGGGCTCGAAATGTTCGCGACGCGTCCGACATGGATTCAACGCGGATTCGACACGGATAGTTGGCGCGATGGGGCAGACGATGTGTTCCGAAGATGCAATCTAACAGAAGATGTGCCGCAACGTAGTGGTTCGAGAGAGGGGATTGAGCTACCCCCTGGAAGCCAGCACAGTGTCCAACAGATCAGGGACGGTGTCCGCGGCGAGAGCGCGATGTTGTGCATCGGATGCCCTCCACGCGTGCCATCGCTCTGGCTCCTGATGCGCAGGACCCAGCACGCCGCGTGGGCCCCAGGCGAGAGCGCGAATGATTACACTGAACCGCCCTCCGTGCATGAGTTGTTGGAGGCCCCAATGCAAGAGCCTCAGCGTACAAACGGGATTCCGTTGTGCCGTTGCTGGGGAAGCCGAAGCCTCTGCGAAGCGCAGGGCCCGCCGTACCGCCACGTCGGGAGGTGCAGCGAGGAGGATCTGCCGACGAGCAAGAGGGATGGAACGGGAGGGCTGGACAGCCGGAGGAGGGACGAGAGGCAGGAGGAGGGGGCGGAGAGGAGGAGGAGGAGGAGGCCGAGGTCCTCGCCCTCCTTCTCGCTCCCTCCCCCCCTCCCTCGCACTCGTCACCGTGAGTGCTCCTCCCTGTCGAGGCCGCGGCCTCCACGCCATGCCCTCATGGGCACGGGCGGGCTCCCCAGAGGAGCGCGCACGACTCCGGCGGTCGCTTCGCTTCGCACTCGTCACCGTGAGGCGTGGGAGCCGCCCGCCCGCCGCCCCCCGGCCAGGCGACAAGCCTCTGTCGTGAGCTTTTCAATCACGCTGGATGTCCAGTGACGACGACGACGACGACGACGACAAGGACGACAAGCACGACGACGACGACGACGACGACGACGACGACGACGACAAGCACGACGACGACGACGACGACGACGACGACGACGACGACGACGACGACGAGGGGAAGCAGCGCTGCATCGGGCCGCCGCTCCGGCAGACCCGCTCGGAGCACGCTCCAGACTGTGGACGGGCCGCCGATCCGGACCCCTCCGGCCCGCAGGGCCGCTCTCTGCGGCCTCGGGGGCGCTCTGGCCTCGGGCGCGGTGGTCGCTGCCGGCGGGGCGAGGCCTCCCTGTCGGGGGCGGACAGAGCCCCCAACAGTGGCACGTCGATTCGTGAGTTGTCCGTTTTCGGTTCTCGGGAGGGCGCCGTGGCCGTTGTTTTCCAGGCTTGCGCCCGCCAGGTTTGGGCCTCAGGTCGTTTTCACTAAACCACGTTTTATTAAAGGGGGGTCTGTCCATCCCCGACTCTTGGGCGATCCTGGGGCATCGGCGGTTGCATCCGCCGAGGGAGTCCGAGTTTGATCTCGGCGATTGGTGGCAACAGTCGGGCTCCTCGATGACCACCGGCACCAGAATCCAGGGGCCTCTTCCCCGCTGGAGGCACCCCCCGTGTTGGTGTTGGTGCAATTTGCTGAGCCCTCAGACACGCGTGTACGTGTTAAAGGATTTGACTTTCTCGCTTGGCATCGCTCGGACGTGTGCACTTGTTCTCGGCGAGGAACCTCGAGGAGCCTTGTGCCAGAGCGACCTTTCGGGTGCGCTCGGCCACGCGCGGAGGGAGGTAGGGGGAGCGGGTCAGGCTCCTTATAAACACAACTAGTTCAGAAGGCGCGGACCCTCTCTGTAGATGGAAGGCCTGCGCCTTCCAAGAAGCAGCCTCATTCTAAGAAGCCTTCCCCCTCCCCCTAGCCCCCTCCGACTCTGCGCGCCGCCAATGCGCGGCTTTCGGGGGGCGTGGGTGGGGGCACAACCAAGCACGCAGGCCGCCACTATCGCAGCGTTTAGCGCTCCATCATTGGACCCTTGTTGAGCGTGGTAACCATCCAGCTCCCGACCGCCGAAGATCACCGACGACTGCTGAAGACCGTCTCATAGGCAACAATGGGTCCAGGGTCGAGGGCGCAGGCACCCCGCGCAACGATCAGCAAGCCGTGCACCAAAGGCAACCCTCGCCCAGGGCCACTTCTTGCGTGCAGTCGACATTCTGGCGCCCACGAGGTCGCCCTTGGAACGGCAGGAGTAGGAGGAGAGAGGAGGAAGAGGAGGAGGAGGCGGAGGAGGAGGAGGAGCAGGAGGAGGAGGAGGAGCAGCAAGCTTCTTCAGCCTCGCTGCACGGAAAAGTACGATCATACGAAACCTGTCCCTTGAGTGAGGATTGCGCCGTCAGCAACCAGACCCTGTCGATGCTTTGCCTAGGCGCCGCCATCAGCCGACGCCGCTGCAGGACGAGCATCCTCTTTCTCCGACCCCTCCGCCTCGGCCGTCGCAGTGGTTGCACTGCCGCGTGCTCCGCCCTGCACGCCCTGCTTCTCCGAGACCGTCAGCCTCGCTGCGGCTGCGGTGGCCTGCGACGCTGCCGATGCGCCCGCCGCCGTCTCTGCGGCCAGGGGCGGGTGGGTTCAGTGCCGGGGCCGTGCCCTCCGTGACTCCCCCCGTCTCCCCCGGCCGCAGCAAACCAGACACGCATCGCCAGTAGCAGCACCCAGAGCTCCATAGGCTCGGAACGGCCCTCGCGCGCTGCACCAGCTGCGGGAACTTCGGCCCCAGCCTCACGAGCCTCGCGATCGCCTCCTGCGGCGCGAAGAGGGCGCGGGCCGGGGCGGCCCCCAGCAAAGGGTCGGGCGGCAGCCTCTGTGGCCCAGGGCGCGGAGCCCCCGCGCACGAGCGCCTACACGGCACGAAGTTGCGCCCGAGCGGCCTGCGCGCCCTCCGCTCTGCAGTCGACCGCCAGGGGGGGCCGGAAGGTGCGCCAGGGAGGCGACATGCCGTGCGCGGGAGAGAGAGAGAGAGAGAGAGAGAGAGAGAGAGAAAAACAAAAAACAAAAAAAAAGAGAGAGAGAGAGAGAGAGAGGTGTGCGAGGGAGGGCCGCGGCGCGGGGCGCTAGGAGGAGGAGGAGGAGGAGGAGGAGGAGGAGGAGGAAAAAGAGGAAGAGGAGGAGGAGGAGGAGGAGGAGGAGGAGGAGGAGGAGGAGGAGGAGGGGAGGAGGGGGAGGCGGAGGACGAGGACGAGGAGGAGGCGGAGGAGGAGGAGGAGGAGGAGGAAGAGGAAGACCCCCCCCAAGGGCCCAAGGCGGCTCACGCGAGGGAAGCCCGACACAGCCCGGCCGGCCGCGTGGCTGCCTCGGCCACATTGGGAGAGCCCCCCGCAGGATGTGACTGGAATACATCGCCCCAGAGCGTTCCCGACCCAGACATGCTCGCGTCGTGGAACCGTGTACAATCGTGGAAAATACGACGGGCGTGTACAACATAAAACATGCGACAATCGCAAGAATTGAAGAACAATTCAACAGCAGCAACAACAACCTCAACAACATGAACAACAACATGAACAACAACAACAACAACAACAACAACAACAACAACAGCAACAACAACAGCAACAGCAACAGCAACAGCAACAGCAACAGCAACAACACCAATCATTGTAGCATCATGCGCCATGCTTCCACATGTCCCATGCATCTATCTGGAAACCACATCCGATCATGGGGGCTTTATTTGGCACGCGGGGCCCGATATTCCCTCGCCCACATCGCCCGCCCAAGAAAGTATTGCCACCACCTCTTCCGAGGAATTTCGACATCCACAGCTCGGACGGCGCGTCGTCATCGCAGTCGCCTTGCGCACGCCCCGCATCTCGGAAGAGGAGGAAGAGGACGAGGAGGGGCGGGAAGATGAGGGAGAGGAAGAGGGAGAGGAAAAGGAGCAGGATGGAGGAGGAGGAGGAGGAGGAGGAGGACGGAGAGGAAGGAGGAGTAGATGTAGTAGCAGTACCTCCGAGGACGAGGTGGTTATTACTCCTCGTTCGAACTGTTACGCCACCATCCTGCGGCCTCGGCGCGTGACCCTGACCGCACACGCCCCCAGGCGCTGCTGCCCCCGCGCTCGCATCCTCCACCTGCCCCTTCCACGCCCTTTCATGGAACCCCTGAACTCAATCCTTCGACCCTCGATCCTCGGAGCCCCCGGATGCCATCCGCCCTCCTCCTCCTCCTCCCCCGCATTACCTACGCCCTCAAAAGATGATACTAGTCAGTAAATTAATATTCCACGGAGTCTTTTGGAAGCCCCCCAGGGGCGACGCCGAAACGAGGGCCCCAGTCTCGAGTAAAAGGCGAGGGGGGCATCGAACGGGAGCGACGAGGGCGGACGGAAAGGGGAAGGGGGGAAGGGGGGAAGGGGGAGGGAGGCAGGAGGAGAAAGGAAACGATGGGGGACGAAATGGGAAAGGAGGAGGGAAATGGAGGGGGGGAAGAGGGGCGGGAGAGGGAGGAGGAAGGAGGGGGCGGAGCGAGGGGCGGAGGGAGGAAGAGGGAGGAAGAGAGAGAGGGGGGAGGACGGAGGAGGAGGAGGAGGAGGAGGAGGAGGAAGAGAAAGGAGGAGGAAAAGGAGGGGTGGGGAGGAGGAGGAGCAGAGGAGGAGGAGGAGGAGAAGGAGGAGGAGGAGGAGGAGGAGGAGGAGGAGGCGGAGGGGGGGGGGGGGGGGCGAGGAGGAGGAGGAGGAGGGGGGAGGAGAGGAGAGGAGGAGGAGGAGAGGAGGAGGAGGAGAGGGGGAGAAATGGGGGAGGGGGGAGGAGGGAGGAAAAAGGGACGGAGGAAGGAGGTGGGAAAAGGGGGAAGAGGAGGGGGTGGAGGAAGGGCGAGGGAGGAAGAGAAGGGAGGGGGGAGGAGGAAGGAGGAGAAAGAGGAGGAGGAGGAGGAGGAGGAGGACGAGGACGAAGACGAGGACGAGGAGGAGGAGGAGGAGGAGGAGGAGGAGGAGGAGGAGGGGGAGGAGGAGGAGGAGGAGGAGGAGGGGCGCTTGTCCAGCATAAAACGGGAGGACGTCTCGGGCGGGAGCGCTGATTCTGTCGGGGCGGGGGCTGTCGGCGGCGAGCAAAAGCACCGCCTTGACTTAAAAATGGGAGGAACCCTCGAGCGGGAGCGTTGTTGTTGCTGGGGGGGGGGGGGGGGCGGCGCCGATGGGAGAAAGAATAGCGCGCCTGTCCAAGGTAAGATTGGAGGACGTCTCGGGCGGGAACGTTGGTTTTGTTGAGACGGCTGCTTTCGGCGGCGAGCAAGAGCACCGGCCCTGAATGGAAAAAGAGGAAGTCTCGAACAGGAGCGTTTTTGTTGTTGGGGGGCCGGTTTTGGCGGCCCCCGAAACCGCTCGAGAGTGAGCCTCATTTCAATGACAATGCAGCCCGCGCTTCGGCGAGAGCGCCAGGGCGCCTTCAAGGGGTCCAACAATAACAATTGTTGAACAAGTAACACTCAACAGCAAAAAAAAATAGTTACCGTGTCAGTCCGTCGGTCTGCCTAGCTGCGCGCCTGGTGCTGCCTTTCACGGTGCCCCCTGCTGCGTGTTCGGCAGCCCCGCCCCCGCCCGGCTGTGATGCGTGCGTGCACTGGCCGGGCCGGTGGCTCTTCCCTTTCACATGCCATTGCCGCCCCCCCGCAGCTTGGACGGTCCCTGGCGTTGGCGGGTGCCTTCTCGCTTCGCTGCGCCTCTCCAACAGGTCAGTTGCCCTGCAGCTCAGCAGCCCGTGCGCCCAGTACGGCAGTATGGCACTATTTTGCTGCAGCACGCTGGTTGCAGCCCGAGCCACCCCACGGTCGCTCCGGCCGCGTCTGCATTCTGATGGCGCCGCACCTTTGCAGCAAAGTTTGACGCTTCCGGCTTCATGACGGACACCTGGATGCTCCCGCTCTTGCTGCACTGTGTTCGCGTGCCGCTACTTCTCCTGACTTACTGGTTCAATGTGCTCTACGCTTTCAGCGCCTGCAGCCTTGGCCTCAGCCCCAAGGTGTGGTCACGATGCCACGCCGCGCCCACTGCCAGGTCGCCCATGCACAGGCTGGCCGCCCCAGCCACTCTTGCCAAAACTCTTTTCGCGGTGAGTGCCCTCCCCCCTCGCCGGCATTCCGTCCTCCTCCTCCTCTTCCTCCTCCTCCTCCTCCTCTTCCTCCTCCTCCTCCTCCTCCTCCTCCTCCTCCTCCTCCTCCTCCTCCTCCTCCTCCTCCTCCTCCTCCTCCTCCTCCCTCCTCCTCTTCCTCCTCCTCCTCCTCCTTCCTGGCGGTTAAGTGCCCCACGCGCACCCGGCTACAAGAGCGCGCGTGCGGATCGCCTTTGCCGCGTTGCGACGGAGAAGCATGTTTTTGCAATTTTCGGCCTCTGGGGGCCCTCGCCGGGCCCCAGGACCGTCAAAGAACGACTCGGGATGAAAAAGAGGTCACGGGGAAATGGTCGACTCCTCCAGGGGGCCCATGCTAAAAAGTCACGACGTCGGTTGTTTGGGATATGTTTTCAGAACGTCCCAGGGTGCTCCAGGAGAACCGCGGCGCCCGATGCATCCTCAAGAGCCGCCGGACCTAAGAGGTCCCCGTTTTGTCGTGGTCACATTTTGTCCCTGCCCTGCCGAGTACCCGCCGCCCGAGTGAGATGTTGGTGCGGGCCCGCGTGGGCCCCCCGATCTCGGAATGCGATGCGGTGTGCCTGGGCACTCAGGCTTGATCCCCCCGCGCCCCCCCAAAGCGCGCACCAAAGGTCACCACTGCCGAGGGTCACTCTTGCGTGGGCCGATCCAGGCCTCGTTGTACGCGGCCGCTCTGGGAGAGCGTTCCCCCGCGGGGTGGGCCGGCGCGCGCCAGCGCGGGGCTTCCTGTGCGCGCCGGCGCCCGGCGGCCACGGCCGCGAGTTTGTGTGGATCGAGGAGGAGGAGGAGGACGAGGAGGAGCAGGAGGAGGAGGAATGGGAGGAGGAGGAGGAGGAGGAGGAGGAAGAAGAAGAAGAGGCGGAGGAGGAGGAGGAGGAGGAGGAAGAGGAGGAGGAAGAGGAGGAGGAAGAGGGTCGAGGGTCCAGGGTCGAGAGTCCAGGGTCCAAGGTCGAGGACGAGGAGGATCGACGACGATCGAGGAGGATCGAGGAGGATCGAGGAGGAGGGGGAGGATCGAGGAGGAGGATCTGGGGGGCGGGGCCGCCCGAGGCTGGGGCCGAGGGCCCTGGCATCGGCGGCGCCCGCGCCCGCGCCCCCGTCCTCCGTCGCGGGGCTGCTCCGCGGCCGCCGGGAGGACTCGGGCCCATCCCTTCCTCCATCCCTCCTTGGCCTCCTCCTTCCTCCTCCTCCTCCTCCTCCTCCTCCTCCTCCTCCTCCTCCTCCTCCTCCTCCTCCTCCTCCTCCTCCTCCTCCTCCTCCTCCTCCTCCTACCGTAGCCATTTTGGCTCAAGCCATTTTGGCTCAAGCCGTATCGGCTCAGGGTGGTCTGCGCGACCCGCGTGGCCTGGCTCTCCCCAACCCGCGCCGCGGGTCTCCCTGCTTCCCTCTCTCTCGGCCCGCGCGCCTGCGCCTGCGGCCGGCCTCCCTGTTCCCCTCCTCACGCCATGGCTGAGGGCGCTAGCATGACTGGCTCCATGTGCGGCTCTCCAGAGAGTTCTCCTTCCTTTGCCCCTGCGGGGGCGGGGGGGGGAAGTGTGCCACCCGCCTCGCCCGAGGTACAGAGCGAGGTGTCAGCGCAGATCTACGCGTTGACGAAGTTAGTGAAGGAAGGATTCTCCTCGCATGCCGAGAACTTTGAAATGTTCAGTAAGCAGATGACAGTGATGGGGTCCAACTTCGATCGTATGCAGGAGGAGTTCGCGGAGTTGAATCGTCGGTCGGAGGCTCGTTGGGCAGAGATTAAGAAATCCCAGGACGCAGCGATCCACCAGGTCTCGATTGACACAGATGCGAAGCTTGCTGCAGCAGTGACAAAGATCGAAGGTCAGATGCAGGAACTACAGCAGAAGCTCTCAACATGTTCGTCGACTCGTGCCGACTCGGAGTTCGAGCTCGTGGGAGGAGAAGGGGAAGGAGGACGTCGGAAGATGATGCGTACGTCGGGGCCTGACCAAGCCAGTGCCACCCGTCTTGTTGTCCTTGGATTTGAAAAACCCCTTCTGGAGGCGTCTCTCAAGGAAGCGGTGGCCCCTATTGTCGCTGCGTGCAGTCCAGCAGGGGAGGAGCCGATCGTTCGAGCATACTCTCTCACGAGGAAGGTGATTCTTGACTTCCACAGCACTCTGTCATGCACTGCGCTCTTTGGGAAGAGCCAGACTATTGGTAAGACTGTGTACCAGAACCCGATCGATAACCAGGGATGGGAGCTCCGTGCGCGTCGGGACTTGCCCCCCGCTAGCCGTAAGTTGTTCTACTACCTCGGGCAGACTCGTGCTATCATCGGGAAGGTCCTGGGGGAGAAAGGTTTCCAGGTGGGCAGCAATGGTCTCGGCGGTCAAATATACGGCCTCATTACGGCGACTCACCCAGTGATTCTGGCGAAGGTCACGGTCCGTGAGTGTGGTCGTCCTGAACTTGCTCTGATTCCTGAGGCCCTCGGAACCTTCGGAGTAGGCGATCATGCAGGCTGTATTGCCACTCTTTTTGATCAGATTCGGCCCTTTGTGTGAGGCCCACAGTTGTTCTGGCGCTCCCCGCCTCGGGACTCCCAGTGCGCTGCCTGGCGATTTTTGTCGGGTCCCTGGTGGTTCGGGCCCCCCTGGGATGTGGGGCCTGTCGGGGGAAACCATCGGACCCGTGTTCCGACTAGCCAGGACAGTGCTCAGCCAGCCAACCCGTGTTTTAATTTGAATTCAGGCGGACCTTTTACCCCTGGTGACCCGTCCACTGGAGCGAATGGGGTGTTCGCTCCCTCCTCTGCGCTTACCCTGTGCTCTTGGAATACACGTGCTCTCTTCTCTTCGTACTCTACGTCGTCTCCATTGGCAGCTTAGCGGTACAAGCAGATGCATGGTCTTGTCGGCAGGTTCGACGTTGTGTGTTTACAGGAGACTCATGGCACAGTGTCGGATGTGGAGATGTTACAGCGGGATGACCGTTGCCGTAATGCAGTCATTCACCATTCGGTGATCGATCCGAGAGCTGGGGGCGGTGTGGTTCCTGTCATCTCGAGTAAGCTGGCTTCGCAGTTCGAATCGATTTCTTCGTTCCCGTTGATTGCTGGCCGAGTTCTCGCTTCGCACCTGAAAGGAGGTCGCGGGGGCTCAGTGATTGTCAATGTACACATGCCGAACACCTCGGACCATGCTGCGATGTATCGCAGGTACCTTTGTGTGATTCAGGCTTTCCTTCCTTTGGCTGCGCACACCATGTGCTTGATTGCAGTGGATTGGAACTTTATGGAGGTGGAGGAGGGGCGGTTCCGTACTGATGGCACGTGGCTAGCAGGAGATAGGGAACACACCGATGCATTTCAGTCTATCTGTGGGTCCTGGGCGGAGCTTTTCCAACCTGATCCGACTCGGCGGGATGTTTTCCATGGAGAAGTTCGTGTGGTTGCCCGCCTGGACCGCATCTACACTTCCTTCCCTGCCCCCGTCCTGAATGATTTCTGTGACTGTTAATACCTTGGGACATGCAGTGAAGACATTCGCCTCGTCCGACCATATCCCCGTTGTTGTTACTGTCGCTCTGAGAATGCCATCGGCGTTACCCACCCAGATTCCTAAATGGATTTCCCGTCATTGTGTTTACCATGAGTTGTGTGCCAACGCTATTATGGAAATCGACCAAGATCTGACCCCTCGGGAGAAATTGGCCCGGGTGAAGGAGATGTTCTGGCAGATGGCCCCTCAGATCAAGGCTCGGCTTCGGATGAAGCCTCCGAAAGAGAACTGTGAGAAGCTCCACTTTGCTATGATGGCCTTCCGTGGGTGGCGCATGGGCAGGTTCGACCAGTGTGCGCGCGCGATCCGCGCGCATCCGCGGTTGCTTCAGTACTTCGATCCTGACCATGAGAGATGCGTGGACATAGCAGGATTGGGTGCTTTGGTGCAGTCTCTGAAGGACGCGTGGCATGAGTCAGAGGAGCGGGCGATGGACGGACGGGAGGAGAACGAGAAGTCTAAGGCTAAGGCTACGGCACGCCTGCAACACCTTCGTCGAGCCTGGTCCAAGATGCGGCGGCGATACGGGCTTTCTGGAATCCTGGACAGCGCAGGGCAAGTTTGCCCTTCCCCGACAGCCTCTGCCGAGGCCCTTCGAGACCATTGGCAAGCGATTTCTGCCGACAAGGAACCTGATCGGACCCTTTGGCCTGAAATCCTCGCCCATGCCCAGCCGATCCAGTTGGACCCCTCGCAGTGGAAGTTGGAGGTCGACGGCTTCATAGAGCGGGCCAAATTCAAGCATCACTCTGCTCCTGGGGAGGATGGCATTCCGCATGGGCGCTGGAAAGCTGGGGGGGGCGCTGAAGTTCTTTTTGCTGTTTGTGAGGAGATGTATCAGGCGTCGGGGGGGTACTGTCTCTGCGTGCATGCGTCGTGGAAGGATGTGTTTTCTGCCCAAAGACCTCAAAGACGACGAGAACCCCGCGGCCCTCGTTCGGTCTCCTGATAAGACTCGACCGCTCACACTTGCGAACACCGATGCGAAGCTCCTGAGCGACGCGTTCTCCATCGGCCTCCAGCGGGCTGCTCCGACCGTGATCGACACGACACAGCGAGGGGGGGGTCGCGCGACGTGGGCTCCTTGACAACGTGGTTGGGATTGAATGGTGGGGTCTTGGTCAGATGCTTACTGGTGGGGATCGCTCTGGAATTCTCTTCACAGACTTTAAGGCCGCGTTCCCCTCTCTGATCGTCTCCTGGATCCTAGCGGTCTTGGATGCGATGGGTGTTCCTGGTGAAGTTTGTGGTTTATATCGTGAGCCTTACCGTGGCAATGTGGCTGGTATCAACTTCCCTGGGACTACTGGCATCGAGTTTTCGGTGGAACGTGGTGTGCGGCAGGGAGATCCTGCGTCGATGCGACTCTTCGCTTATGCGCTAGACCCAGTTTTGCGCTGGATGAGGTCTAGGCTCACTGGCCAGGTTCCCCGAATTAGAGCATACGCTGATGAGCTTGCGTTCTGCCTTCCCAACATCCTGACGGACCTTCAGCCGACCCTTTCGCTCCTCCGTAAGTTGGAACATGCGGTAGGACTGGGGTTGAACATTCCTAAATGTAAGGTATTGGTGATTGGCTCGCTTGATCCTGATAGATTAGTTGCCCACCTGCGTGCCGAGGGGAGCGAGCATCATCGCATTGGGTTTGTTCGCGTTGTTTTGTACCTGGGATTTTGGCTTGGGCCTGGTGCTTTGGATAAAGTACGGAGCAATACCATTCCCAAGTTCTGGATGACGGTTCGGAGGCTCCGTGGTCTTGGGCTAGGACTTCCTCCGACTATTCGTCTTTTTCACTCGCACTGCATGTCGATATTGGCGTGCCAGCTACAACTCTGCCCTGTGACTACGGCTCTTCGGAAAGCGTAGAATGAGGCCCTTCAGGTGATCACTGCTGGTCCCCGCCATGCCTTCCCGAGAGAGATGCTGACGGGCTTGTGTGCGATTGGAGCCTCTAGAGTGCCTGGACATCGATTGTTCTTCCAAGGCTATCAAGTTTCGGGTGTTGATGTCCTGCTCCAGTATTGATGCTGTCCAGTATGAGATGGAGTCCTTGACGGTTTCCCTGGATGACGATAACTTCATTCCTGCTCGACTGAGCTGGCCCCGGTGGAAGTCTTCCTGGATCAGGACGACGGTGAATGAAGTAGGCAATTTCTCGACCCCGACCCTGGAACCCATCCCCAAGAAATCCCTTCAGAAGAAAGCTATGCGCAAGCTCCGAGGACTCCGCGACCCCACTGTTCCCCTCCGCACCATGGTGCAGAGGGTGTCCAAGTGGGTGGGCCCCGACCGTTTTACTGTTGCTGACTTCCAGGTGTTTGCCCAGAGGATGCGTAAAGTGGAGAAGGACAGCACGATGCACCTCGTTACGGGGGCCCTTAGAGTGCTCTGCCGAGGAGTATGTACTTCTAGTCGTCTGCATACCATGGTGGTGGGCTGTGCATTTGGGTGTCCTCTGGATGTGGCCAATGACGATCTGAGGCGTTACCGCGTGTGCCCCAAGTTGAAGGCTGGGCTGACTGATATTCCCCCGTGGTGGACTTCTGAGGACCTGGGCCGAGGCTCTCACGGGTGAGGACTGGCTCCTCACGCTCTGTTGTCTGGGGCCACAGTGGGGACGGTCACGAGA